ATCATCTGTGTTGCACCCCTAGGTGCGCTTACCGGGAAGATTCTAACCTATGTCCATCCTGGGTCGGAGCTTCTTAGCGTGCGTCTGACCAGGAACCAGGAGCATGGCGTCTCTCTCAGGCATCTGCTCCCGAGAGGACAGCGGTCGAGTCTCTGAGCTCACTTCCTCTTCCTCCCAGTGTTCTGTTCTGTTTACTCCACCTACCTATGTCCTAACCAATAAAATGGGCCAAGGCAGTTCCTTTATTAGCCAATGACCTTCCTCCATCATTCAATGTAAGAGATTAGATATTTTGTCCTTAAAATACACTCATTTATTGAATTTGTGATCCTTAAGGTATGATTTAAAGAGATGGGATCTCTGATAGAGGATTTGAGTTATAAGGGTATGATTTTCATGAATGGGATAAGTACCTTTGGTGGGGACCTCAGAGAGATTTTATCTTGCTTCTGACATACGAAACACAGTAGGAGAGCTCAGTAAGAAGGGCCCATGAAGCTGCGTTCACTAGTCCCTGACTCCTCCAGTACTTTGACTGCAGACTTCCCAGTATTCAGAAGGATGAGAGACTCTATTGTATCTCACTGTGATGACTAATATTATGAACTTGACAGAATCTAGGATTATGCAGGATACACAGTCCTGGGTATGTCTGTGAGAAAACACAGAGAGGTTGGAAGACTCATTCTAAATGTGGATGATAGCATTGTGTGGGTTGGGGTTCAGGAGTGAATAAGAAGGAGAAAGGGACCTTAGCCCCGACATCTATTTCTCTCTGCTTTCTGAATGTAGAAACAATGTGACCAGCTGCCATATGCTCTCCCTACTTTGTATATCCTACCAGGCACACCAAGGATTCCTTCAAACTGTGAGCCAAAATAAACCCATCCCTCCTGAAGTTGCTTTCGTCAGGTATTTTGACACAGAAATAAGAATAGTAACTACAACACAATAACCTAAGTAGTTTGTGGTATGTCCTGTAGCAGCTTGACTGGATTATGCAAACAACACCAACAAAAACATGTTTTGCCTCAGAGTAATGACTTTATGTGTCCTTGCACTGTGTCCCTTTTCTAGAAACTGGAAATATAAGCCACTCTCCTCAAGACACAGGCCCAGAGACTTTGAAAAAAAACTATTGTGGAATATTGTAATTATTCCGTATATTGTTGCTGTAGCTTAGTATTTGTGGGTTTGCAGAATCAAATATTTAATATTGTATCATGCCTGTAGTGAAATGCCATATGATATATATATTAAACCAGCTAGCTCCCTTGAGTATAAGGAACATTGATTCTTATTAGAGCAAAGCTAGACCCCCAAATAATTTAAAGCTTCCCCTGGTCTCTTTACATCTGTGGTTATCAATCTTCAACACATCTTGTCAATTTTGTTTCCATTTCTTTAAAAAAAAAAAGAAAGAAATTATCACTTCAACAGCACTGTGAATTTTTTAAAAGGACGCCTGACGTAAAGTGATTTTGAACACTAACATGTGAAGGACAAGCAATAAGAAAGGCAATAAAAATTCAGAGAAAAATACCCATGGGCTAGCGAGCGCAAGTTTCTTCCGAAGGAAATGGGATGAAAGAATACAGACCGTGTAGCTTTTCAACAGGGGAAAATGCCAACACCAGAATGACAAAGGTTGAAGCTAGGACCTTTCCAGAACCCAGACAGGCATTCAGCTTAGTAGGCTTACATACTATCTGAGGAAGACTTCTGGGCAATGAATGCTGGAGATGGTTTTGTGACATATAGCCTAGGCAAATGGGAAGGAGTAGAGGATGGTGTCAAAGGCGTGACTACTTAGGTTATTGTGTTGTAGTTACTATTCTTATTTCTGTGTCAAAATACCTGACACCATGAGGTAAATTACTCCCTTGTCATCAACGTAGGAGGAAAACAATGCTCCTAGGAGGTCCAGACACCAAATAGAACCTGGAAAGAAGGATGCTCTAGGAGCTACAAATTAATATGCTCTGATTAAACAACATTATGACTTTACAGTGGCTTTGGAAAACATGGACAAGAATAATGAACAGAGGTAAAATCATCCGCAAGTATATTTTCCAGAGACAATCATCATGAAAATATGGCATAATCATGCACCCTTTTACTTACATGATATTCATATGTAAAATATATAAAATCTGTGTTTTTAAAAAATAGAGCCAAGCTATATATCAACTTTTCCATATGCTTTCCCCTCATTTTTCAAATCTTTTTCCTTATTTATGTATTCTTTAAAAGGTATTTTTAATGCCTGTATTATGTAGAGTTTTTCCATTTTAGAAAGAGCACCCAGACCCAGAAAGGCAATTATCACATGTACTCACTCATAAGTGGTTTGAAAACATAAAGCAAAGAAAACCAGCCCACAAATCACAATCCCAGAGAACCCAGACAACAATGAGGACTCTAAGAGAGACATACATAGATCTAATCTACATGGGAAGTAGAAAAAGACAAGATCTCCTGAGTAAACTGGAAGCATGGGAACCTTGGGAGAGAGTCGAAGGGGAGGGGAGAGGCATAGAGAGGAGCAGAGAAAAATGAAGAGCTCAATAAAAATCAATAAATGAAAGAAAGAGCACCATAATAGTATTTGTCATAAATCTTATTATCTATATCTACTTCTTAGAAGAAACTTAAAGGTGTATTAATATGTCACATTCGGATTAGTCAGGAGACCCATTGCTGTGACTCACTACTAGGAGTCTCTAAGGATGAACTTCGAGCAAGCATATTAAAGAGCTGACACCATGTTTGCATCCCTTTCCATCTATGTATATCCTTCTGCAGCATGCATCCTCCAAGCTCCCCATCATTTCCTCTAGGCCCGCGGTTCTCAATCTTCTCAATGCTTTGACCCTTTAATGCAGTTACTCATGCTGTGGTGACGGCCAACCATAAAATCATTTCATTGCTACGTCATAACTGCAACTCTGCTATCATTATGGGTCACAATGCAAATACCCGACATGCAAGGGCATCTGCTACACAACCCCCCAAAGAGTTCACAGGTTGAGAACTGCTGCTCTAGGCAAAGGGACTATTACTGGGTTCATTTAAATGCAGTAACATGAAACTTAGCTGACCCAGATGTCTCCAGTATGCATACGAAAACTACTCAATGCTTTCTTAATCCCAGCACTCGGGAGGCAGAGACAGGCGGATCTCTGTGAGTTCGAGACCAGCCTGGTCTACAAGAGCTAGTGCCAGGACAGGCTCCAAAGCCACAGAGAAACCCTGTCTCGAAAAACCAAAAAAAAAAAAAAAATGATGCATGATGGGCAACAAAAGAAGAAAAAGTACAGTCGATGGAAGCTTATAGCTATCAGATACTATGTAAACGTATAAGTTATGTATACTGTGATGGAGGAAAGTCATTGGCTAATAAAGGAACTGCCTTGGCCCATTTTATTGGTTAGAAGATAGGTGGGAGGAGTAAACAGAACAGAACGCTGGGAGGAAGAGGAAGTGAGCTCAGACTCGACAGCTCTCCTCTCGGGAGCAGACGCCTCAGAGAGACGCCATGCTCCTGGCTCCTGGGCAGATGCACGCTATGAAGCTCAGACCCAGGATGGACATAGGCTAGAATCTTCCCGGTAAGCGCACCTAGGGGCGCAACACAGATGATTAGAAATGGGCTAAATTAATATGTGAGAATTAGCCTAGAAGAGGCTAGATAGAAATGGGCCAAGCAGTGATTAAATGAATACAGTTTGTGTGTTGTTATTTCGGGGCATAAGCTAGCCATGTGGGCAGCCCCGCCGCCCTTATTACTACAATACTGGAGATTTCTTCAAACTTAAGATTTTCTTGACACTTCAAAGTTGTAGGGATCTTATATGCTCTCAATATAATGACAGTTTTCACGACATTATTTAATCACACAGCCTTAACAGTCCAAATTTAAATTCTCTAGTTTACATTGTAAATCATTTCTTTGCAAGAGGTTAACAGAGTCTTCAAAATCTCTGAAGTATATGCATGCATTAATTCAGTTACAGGAAGGTACACTGAAAACAGTTTTCCTCTCCTGGCCAATGAAAAGCAAAGTAAAACAAAACACATCAAAGCCTCAGTGTTATCACTGGCCATATTCACCTTAGAATCATTCAAATGCTAAGACCTCCTCAGAATTTTTGTTCAGATGAGGGCAGCCAGGACTGTGCTTTTTAGCCATGCAACCTGAACATCACACAACTCTGGAGGGAGCAACGGGCCCCTGATTGATGTGGTTGGTACTCTCTGGAGCTGTACAGTAAGCAGTCTATGCAGCTGTACGTGGTAACCTTACAGTTAGTGCCAATAGTTCCATTTGTGTGCCCATTACTTATTTATGCATCTTTCTCTCTGGTGGGCGGTGAAACTGGAAAGTTTTAGAGCGAAGTAGTCTTTAAAGCTAACCTACTTCTTTTTCTTTTAATGAAGGTAATTCTGTAAGGAAACGATAACCAATTTTCCTGGCTCCCTTCTGTCACAGTGATCGCAAGTTCTGTCTTCCCATGTTTGATGGAGGAAGGTCATTGGCTAATAAAGGAACTGCCCTGGTCCATTTTATTGGTTAGAGGATAGGTGGGAGGAGTAAACAGAACAAAATGCTGGGAGGAAGAGGAAGTGAGCTCAGAGACTCCACCGCTCTGCTCTCCACAGCAGATGCCTCAGGGAGATGCCATACTCCCAGCTCCCAGGCAGACACACGCCATGCTCCGCACGCGATCCGACCCAGGATGGACATAGGCTAGAATCTTCCCGGTAAGACCGGTGCTACAGTTTATTAGAAATGGGTTGATCGGGATATCAGAATTAGCCAGTAAGGGCTAGAGCTAAAGGGCCAAGCAGTGATTAAATGAATACAGTTTGTGTGTTGTTATTTCGGGGCATAAGCTAAGCTAGCCATGTGGGCGGCCGGGTGTGGGGGACGCAGCCCTGCCGCCCCTTATTACTACACATGTTCCTGTGCACCCGCCCAACAGAAAGCAGCAGGTTACCTTGTGTGAGTAGCTGCAGGTTTCTGACTTCTTCCCGCACCTTCAGCTGGAGCACCTGCTGCAGGACGTGCTGGCGCTGGTTCTCCTGGAGGATTCCCATGCGTTCCAGCTTCTTGTCTGTGAGTCTCAGCAGGGCTCGCCCTGCGGGGGTTTAAGAAATGGAGGGAGAGGCAAGTGAGAATGGCTTGCATCTTGGCTTTAGCTTGCCACGACCAAAAAATTAAAAGTTTATAACTAAGTGCGGCTGATGTAGAACAGAGGTACAGACCCCCATGGTCTATGCTGATGGATTGATGATGTGCACAGGGAAAACCTACCTATGAAAAGAGAGCCTTGGCTTTTATGTAATAGTGGCAACCCTCAGTAGACCCAAACAATGAGGTAGGTATAAAATAGCAAAGTTTAACTTGCATATTTGGGTCACCGATGACACGTTTCCATGGAAACAGTACTCTTCACTGGGTGATGGGTTCTTAGGCTGGCCAGAGGAACCTTTATGTGTAGTAATAAGAGCGGTGGGGCTGCGTCCCTAGCACCCCGGCCGCCTGCTAGCTTATGCCCCGAAATAACAACACACAAATTGTATTCATTTAAACACTGCTTGGCCCTTTAGCTCTAGCCCTTACTGGCTAATTCTGATATACCGATCAACCCATCACTAATAATCTGTGAGCACCAGTCTTACCGGGAAGATTCTAGCCTATGTCCATCCTGGGTCGGAGCTGAATTGTGTGTGTCTCAGAGAGCAGAGCTATCACGTCTACCCGGGAGAGAGGAGCATGGCGTCTCTGCTCTGAGGCGTCTTACCCCACTTCCTCTTCCTCCCAGCATTCTGTTCTGTTTACTCCACCCACCTATGTTCTAAGCTATGAGCCCAAGCAGTTTGTTTATTACTTGGCCAATTAAATCAACAGATTGATATATGATACTCCCACATCATTTATGGACACCCCCGCTGTAGAACTAGATGCTCTCACTAGGATTATGGGAACTCCGACAGCAATTTTCGCTTTCATGAAATACACGTTTAAGGTCTGGTTTTAATCTGAAGGCATTCACTCTCTGACTCCAGCTGTGGGGAACTCTGCTTACCCCAACATTCGCTGAGGCCAAAAGGCCCCCCAAAGAGGAGAGGCAAGTGGATACAAGGGAGGAATGGCTTTGAGGAGGGCAAAAGGAGGAGAGCTGGTGCTTATGATGCCACATATCTAGGTCCTGGCGGCTCAGTATGCCAACTCCATTCCTGCCCCCAGATATCTGCATGTTTTTCTTCTACCTTGATTTTTATGAAGTCCCCAAATTATGCCCTACTGTGCATCTATCTTGAAATAAGCATACTTCATTCCCAGAGCTTACTCTGAGGGAGCGATCTTGTTAAATGCCCACAGAAGTCTTTACTCTCTTCCCACAGCCTTGGCTGCCGCACCTGTGGATCTTTTATCACTTCTATCAAGAGGAAGAGACAGAAGCCGCTGCCTGTGATCAATGCCAAGTCTGTAAAGTAAAGTTTTATGTCGACGCTGGAGACTGTGAGAAGCCCGCACCCATGTCTTGGGTGTGTGCTATTCTTTTCCTAAACACCACTCTGCCTTCTCTAATGTTGGTGTTCAAATCTACATTAGAATTGCTTCTTAACAAACTGCAACTCTGCTTCTTTAGGAAGAAAAGAACTTAAATGTTCTATCACCTTAGAAAAGAAACCAAATAACTAGAAGGTGAAGTTAATGGGCATTTCCATCAAAGGAACAAGAAAGACCATGAATGTAGCTGCTGAATGGGCAGCCTGTGAATAGGTACAGGTGGATGGAGTTGAGCAGCTCGGAAAGTCAGTGCTATTCAATCTGCATCTTCCCTTCCCATTAACCCTTGGCACAGAAGATTGGTCAAGGTAAGCTAGGTTATATGCCACATATAGTGGCTAAAAATTATATGGCAAAGCTCACTGGTTTTTCCTGAATGTTTTTATTTGTTTGCTTTTGAGACAGGTTCTTACCAAGTAGCCCATCTTGCCTTAAACTTGAAATCCTCCTGCCTTACACGCATGAGTACAGGAAATTATGGTAGGGCACTGTGCCTGGCTTTATTCTGCATGTTGACTTCCAGTCTACCTCCTTTGAACTCGGTAATCTTGATAATCAAAGCAAAGGTAGAGAAAAATGTTTAGGTATCTCATTTGACCAACAGAATGCTTGGCCTACAGTCATTTATTAGCCAGGAACAATGACATGGCCCTTCCCACTTAGAAAAAGCCAGTTGTATACTGTGACATGCTATGATTCCCTTTAACCCTCTGCCCAGAAGTGAGGCGGGTAAGGCTAAGTAAGGTACACAGGCATATTGGATGGAAATATTGATGACATAATCATGTACCATTGTCTGGGAGGAAAGTGTGTGTGTGTGTGTGTGTGTGAGAGAGAGAGAGAGAGAGAGAGAGAGAGAGAGAGAGAGAGAGAGAGAGAGATACAGCTTCTGTAGCATTCTAATGGAAGAAGCTCCCCAGGTACAGCTAAGGGTTGGTTCCACCAGATGACGATGGTGACCATGAAAAAGGAACAAGGAGAAAAAAGCAGACCCACTCCCTTTCCACTGCCTTCTGCAGCAAGGTCAAGTGACAACACTGGAGGATTTTATAATCTAGTTTGTGACCTTTCACGGCCAAGGAGACTGTGTAAAAGCGAGTTGAAGTGTAAGGATGGCAAGATGGAAAAATATATCACCCAGGCAGCCCATCAAGTCTCACTACAAAGGTACAGAGAACCCCGGAGGGTGAAGTGGTCTGGCAATGCAAACAGAAGTCAGAGAGAAGAGGCCAAGAGATAAGAAATCCCCACAGATTTTAGAGACTGAGAAAGACTCCAAAATTGCTTCTCTCCCACACACTCCAAAAGTCATCCTACTACAATCTTTGAGCCCCATGACACCCATTTTTGAACTTCCAGATTTCACAAATATAGTATGATAAACATGATTAATTTTAAGCCTCTGTTAGTTACAGCAGCAGTTATCCTCATGAATGGAATTGATATTGAAGAAGTCAAACACTTGGGAGAAGGGCAAGGGAACAGAAGTGTCAAGGAAATCAGGGGAATGGAGAATGTCACTATAGCCAAGTGGAAAAGATAGGACACAGGTAGGAATCAGGATCTGAGAAGAGGCCAGGACAGCACTCAAGAAGGCCTAGTAGGCTTGGGGAGGAGTGGAGATTGACTGAATGGGAAGTGTGAGCAGTTCTGAGCAAAGTTAACCTTGGCATTATGCCAGATCTTCCCTGGATCTTCATTGCTTCTTCTGGGCAGAAAAGATTGGAGATTGGGACATGGAGAAAAGTCAAAGCAGGAAGTGATGGTGCCACAAAGCTGGGTGGAAGGTCAGGGGTGGTAAGATTCCTGGCTCTGTTTTTATGACTTTTACAATTCCTAGAAGCAGCATGGAGGGAAGGAGGGCCTCAGTTCCCACTCAGGTTTCCAAGCTCGTCCACAATGGCTGGTGGCCCCTTTTATGAGCAGGAAACTAAATCACTGCTCTAGGAAAGGATGTGATGGAGGCAGGAAACCATGGTCCATTCCTGCTGTTCTATCTCCAAGAAACATCTGGGATCTACAGAAGTAATGAAATAGGTAGAACTAAAAAAGGAGGTGACTAAAATTTCCTTCTTTGTTCCCCTTAATATTCTCATTCTTTCATTCCTTCGGTGCTTTCCTAAAACCCCCCAAACGTTGAGCTAACAGATAACATGGTCAGATCACGGTAGGAATTACAGAGAAAAGAGGTTGTTGCAATGACCCAACTTTTGTTAAAAAATATTCATGGGCCGGGTGGTGGTGGCACACGCCTTTAATCCCAGCACTCGGGAGGCAGAGGCAGGCAGATCTCTGTGCGTTCGAGACCAGCCTGGTCTACAAGAGCTAGTTCCAGGACAAGCTCCAAAACCACAGAGAAACCCTGTCTCGAAAAAAACCACCCCTTGAAGATGTTCACACAGCAGAATTTTGGGTGTGATGTTCCAGTAGCAACCCTGAAAGCTTCTAGTATTTCTGCATCTATCGGCTATCCATAAAGGCATGATTGTGTGTGGTTCTCTAGCGTACCTATTCCATAAACATAGGCATGATGATTAACTTCATAAGCCAACTTGAGTAGACCGTGAGATAGCCAGATGCTCATTTATTATTCTGAGTGATTCAAGATGATAGAAATATTTATGTATTTTTAAATTTCATATACATGTACTTTATTTAAACTATTCTTCCCCTTCCCTCGAACGCCTCCTGTATACCACTCCCACCCACCCCTTCTGTCTCATAATCTTATCTTTTAGAAATTATTATTATTATTATTGCATACATGTATGTATGTAAATAAAAACATAAACACAACTTATGTCCCTCTAGTGTAGCTACATGTGCGTGCTTTATGACTCACTACTTGGTATTAGGTCATCAGTCAGGGGGCTGGTCCCAGGGGAAGACTGATTCTTCCTCTCCCAGGAATCATTAACTACCTGTATCTCTTCATCTAGGGGCAGGGCCTTGTGAGATTTCACCAATCACAATTGGGATGTCAACAGACGTTCAGGATTTGATTAAGCACCTATGCTGCCCACCAATCAGAATTGGGACGTCAGCTGGCATTCAGGTTTTGTTAAAGCGATACACCACTGAGAGTCCATGGTGCCTCTTTCTTGTCATATTTAGAAGACACACTTGTAGCAGATGTTCTGGTCCTTTGACTCTGACATTCTTCCCACCCCCTCTTCTGTGATGTTCCCTAAGAAAAACCTACCACAGCCACTTTCCTAAACCAGCATTTACTGATTCCCAACACTTATGCTTTTCCCCACAGAGAAGAGTTGCTCATCAAAGAAACTTTCTTTCGCAGCAGATGGGGAGTAATACGAAAGCTACAACTGGGCGAAATGCAGAGAAAGCACTGGCCGTGGGGTGCTTGGCCTCGATTCTTATATCTACAACACAACCCCTCCACTTAAGGCTCAGAGATAAGGTACTTAAAATGATAGGATGAGGCAGATTGCTTCCTATAATGTATAACAGCTCTTGCCTCTAGGCCCAAATGAGGACATCGGCTTTTTAAATCTTGAACATGATGTAAGGCATTTGATTGGAAACTGTCAAATGAAACAA